ATGTTATTTTCAAGTCTATAATTCAAATTTATGACATCTTAACGAAGAAAGTAATTGTTTATTTCAGTCACTTTTATTAACTTTCAAAAATTTTATTTTATTTTCATTTGCAAATAATAAGTACGAGGTTGATTTTGTTAGCGTTTATTTAATCATGATTTCATGGACAAAATTAGTAGGTAATGTTCATTTGATTTGTTATTTTTTTATTTTATGTCACAAAAGTTACTATTTGTGATAATTTAGGTACTGTATTTTCTTATTTCTTCCTTTTGTTTTTAGGTATTCGGCCGAATAGTGATTTAATATTCGGTATTCGGCCGGATAAGCCGAATACCGAATAGTAACCGAATATTCGTTGCAACTCTAATATTAATACATACATAACAATAAATACATAATAATATTAAATGCTTATATATACTTATAAAGGAAAAAGAAACATGAAGTATAAATATAGGGAATAAAATAAGCATAGTAGGGGCAGACGAAACTTAGAAGTTGAGGAAGTGATCTTTGACACGTTGTTTGTAGGAATCAAGAGAAGGGGATCGTCGAATCGATTCAGGGAGAGAATTCCACAATCTGGTCGTAGAAATGGTAATAGAGTTGGAATAAAAGTTAGATGTATGAGAGTATCAGAGGAGCGAAGGGGACAGCAGAGTGTAGAAGAGTGGAAAGTAAAGCGATCTTTAAGATAAGAAGGCGTAAAGGGAGGCGTAAGATAAGGACGCGTTCTAAATTGTTTCAGGGGACCTATTCCCGTTCTCCATCGGACATTTACGCAATTAATGCCAGACCAAATGAAAACACGCGTGATGCGAATGAAGCTTCATACTTGACATTGTCTTTTCTCATTGACCAGAACCAGCCGTGACCATGGGCTCGAAACGTTAGTTTGTTGCTAAAAAAAAACAAATATACGCGATTTAGATACGAAAAAAGTACTTTCAGCTCCAAAATTAAGATCCAATAGCTGACGAAAAAAAATATTTCCAAATGCTATTAATTTTCACCCCGTAAGCCTTATAATAAAACCTTAGTAATCAGCTAAATTGAAAATAATACCTTGTTTATCGATAATCTTTATACGGCTTCTGTTTACCACTGTATCGCAGGACAATATCCCGTTACATTTAGACGATAACCTTTATCTCGAAGTCAACAAACACGTGGTTAGATGCATTTAAAAGAAATACTAGTCTTGGTTTCCAGAAGTAACGAATTAACAATTGTTTCAAATTTAGAAAAAACGTTTTCTAGCAAACCGTGGCAGACGCAATGCTAACTAAGCCACCGAACGAACCAGCGGACATTATGAATTTTCCTATGTGCTTGTTGGAAGTCTTTGTTTTGGTTTTTAACGATTTTTCTGCCGTAGTGCCATCTGTGAGAAATCTATTTCTTCACTCAGCCAGGGACATACCTTTACAGCTACCAGCAGCTGACTAGAGATGTCGCTTTATCCTTGTTTATATTGGCAATGTTAATATTATTTTCTCTTTTATTTAGATGAAGTTATAATGAAACAAATTTATCTTATTTTATCTCAAGACGTACGGTGTGATATCATCCTTGGTAAATATTCCTTTCAGACGTACTAAGCGCTTTTCGTCGTCAGACAAAGAATGGAATTCCCTCTTTGCGCCTGAGTTTCCGAGCACATACAACCTGAGTATCTTTAAGGTACGATTAAATAGGCATCTTCTGGGCGAGCTCGTATCATCGCAGACCCATCTTGCTCCAGAGCTAGGTAGTCATGACTAATCCATTTCAAACTTAAAATAATTATATATTTCTTTAACTAACTAAATACCAATATAGCGGATTAATTCCCTAATTTGCTACCCTTAGAGGTGGAATATTTTTAACCGACTTCAAAAAAGGAGAAAAAGGAGGTTCTCAATTCGACTGTACGTCTTTTTCTGTTCAGATAGGTGCCGGAGAGCTGGAGGCACGCTCACTTCCCGTTGAGCATTGCACAACTAGCGGTTGTCACCGCTGAGCCGTCGACTCTAAGGGTCGTATTCCAGAACTCTACTCAATGCTCAAGTCAGGATTTGAGCAGACTTGGGTTTGATTTCAAGCACTGGAAATACGACCCTAATGGCAAGGACTTGAGTATGATTTTCAGTGCTCACTGCAATACTCAATCTCCTCATCGGTGGCGGAGCTGTAAGGCACGCTCACTTCCCGACGCCGATAGACGTCTCTCCAATTCCCAATCACCTAAGCGGCTGGAGGGACCGGAGGATATCTACTTACTCTTGCTTGCTTACTCTCTACTAGCTCTCCGGGCTAGTGCCGGAGATGTTAGTCGCAGTCTCCTGCGACAATATTCAGAAACAGTTTCTAACTTTAAGGGGCAATTCACGTGTCCCGCGCGTCTCCTCGCTTCAGGCCCTCAACTAGACCGCTACTAAGACGCCCCAGCCACATGCTACTGAGGCAGACAAACATGTCTATCTCTGCAGTTCACCACAAACCTCACCGAGTCCATACCCAAGTCCAGGTCCACCAGAGACGCCCGTGAAGGTGTATCACTGGCGAAGGGCTTGACCTGGACGCCAGACCAGCTAAAACTTAGATTTCAAACCAATTGGCCCACCGGAAATCTAACATCCTCATCTAGCACCCACAGTGCGAATTATTAAGCTACCAAAGTCATCAAATAATGCAGCGAATGGATATCTATAATTTTTGCAGTGGGTTACAATCTAGGTAGTACGTATGATACAACACATTAAGTTAGATGTTAAATCTACATAACTGGCCTACCTTGACGCAAGGCAATATTATGATGTTTTGCATAATCTTAGCATAATTATATTTATTATGCTAATTCATATGTTATATAGTGTTTTGAAATTGTGGAAATATAAGTAAGTAGTTATTTATGCTGCAGTTTCACTGTGTGATATGTTACAATTACACGCCTGGAAAAATTTTGTTGATTGTCCGGATAAGTTGAAAAGAATGTACACTTTTAATAAGATAGATTGTGATTGCTGGCCTCCCTGCCATAAGTAGCGCGTTTGTATTACGGTAACTATTTTTTATTTAATTTTTCAATAACTTTTTTTGTAGCAATAAGAGCTAGTTGTAAAATAGTTTATCCAGGGAAGTACTGCCACCTTATGTCTTAGGGTGACAGGAGCAGTGCCCTCAGATCTTTGCTATTTAGCTCTGAGTGACACTGCAACTATTATGGACAAGCGTGTAGCGTACCATCAGGCGCACGACTTGTTCGTATCGTCACTTGATAATATGAAAAAAAAAATTCGAGACATTGGCACCTAAAGTTTTATTGTCACCTAAAAAAATGTCAATTACGCTAATTTTGCTTTAATGAAACTGAAAGTAAACAAGACATAAAAAAACGGATTAGAGAGAGTTGTAGATGTCGTTATGCTGATTTCAGCTAATGTGTTAAAACTCAATTTTGGTAAAAATGTTGATTATGTTAGTTAAGATGAGGAGAGCAGGTTGTAAAGTTCTGAAATGTTCATTTTGTACCTGGGTCATATAGTGATACGGCATTATAAAACATAAAGAAAAGGAATTTGTTTATTTTTCTTTTTAAATTGTCTCCATATACGATCAATTGTTAAATCATTATCAGATCTGTGCATAATATTAATCTGGTGTGGACTAAAAAGTTCTGTGACACTTTTCTTTCTCAATTATTTACCAGAGATTGAATAGACAGAAGACATTGAAATGTCAAGGAAATGTTTTATTACTTCATGACAGTGTATTAAGAAAATTGTAAGTAAAAACATTTTTTTTTTGTTGTTTTTTTTGCCAACATGCAATCAGTCTAATATGAGACCTTAAGCATTTAAGTTTTTGATATATTTTGGCATGACAGGCATACCGTTCTAACGTTGGGATGCCTTTATGTGGAAAACTGATCAGCTCAGTTAGTTGAATCCCAAAAAAAGTCAAAATATTATTATTTTGTTTCGACTTTTTACGTTTTATGTTTAAACCATTTTACGGTCTGCCTGTACAATACATTTTGAGAAGTTATCTTCTCTAGTCAGCAATTTGGTTGGAATTGCTTTAGTTGTTATTTGTCCAAAAGAAAGCCTAATTTTTTTTTCTGTCAGTCTACATCTGGCTGCAAATAGTGTGTACTACGTAGTGTGGCTGTAAGATCAATTTGAGAAAAGCACTTTTCTAAATTGCTTATTCCATTGCTCTGGTACTCATACAGGGAATTCCCTAATTTGAGTATTCTGGCAAAAAAAAAATCCTGGAAATCAGATAGAGGTATTATTTATTCACTCTGTGTATATTACTTCTTTGAAGTTTGTCTTGGCAAATAAATGTAAAGTAAAAGTATTTAAAGAAAACTTTAAAATTGCCAAAATATATTCAAAATAGGGAAAGATAGAAGTTTTCAGACATTGTTAACACATAATAAGATAATAAAAAAAGATATATTTTTTAAATCTTCTAAGTGTTTGTCTTTAAGGTCTTCATCGACGTGATTTTCTTCTTTTGCATTATATATATTTACTTTGAACCTTTTACTTGTTGCATCTACCACACACAATCTCCAATAAATATGTTGAATACGAAAATTAAATATCGCACATATATGCCAAGTCTGCACCAATGTATATTTGATATTTCAACGAGATTACATAAAAACTAGAAATTATAGCTAAATAAACATCTAAAAATAAAAGTCCGCGTGGCTGTATGAAAGTTAAGCCAAAGTTAATAATTGTGAACTTACCGTGCTTATTTGTTTTTTTTTTTTTACTAAAACATTTCTAATGCGTTAAATATTCGGAGTCAAACTAGTATTAAAAAAAATAATTAAACAATTCGAAAATGAATCAAATTTGAACAATGTTCTATTATTTTAGCGAACACTTTCACTTATAAGATGATATCTCGTGATAAATGCGAAGGCACAAAATGCCTTATTGCAGTGTCTATTCAACACAGCCAAATTTTAACACAGAATTCTAAGGAACACCACTTACTTGTTAATTGTTACACGCTTTCAAACGTCTATATTGTAGAGAAATCACAAAACAGGTAATTACGATAAGAATGTAGTGATAAAACAGAAAATAATAATTGTATCTTTTGTTCGGGCACACGTATCACATCACACAATATGGTTACCTAGTCACACTATTGTTAGCAATATTTTACAACTTAGCGTCACTGAAAAAAGTCACACGCGGAATTATAGAAGTAGTCCACAAGTTTAATCAAGCGTACAGAAAAATAATACACCCGATCAGTTGGCAGCGATCGGCACAAAAATAATCTTTTGAATTGATTGATTGATTTGTGGAACTATTCTTTTTTCATTTTAGTTCGGTCAATGAACGAATAGAAATACGTCATTTTCGTGATTTTCGTTCGAAAGGACCTTTTGGAAACCGGCGATGAGTGTAGCCATTTCAATTTAATATTTATTCACTGTTGGGAGATGCAAGTGAAATGAAAACCGTAAACGAGAACATATTACTTGTGTTCACGTAGCAATTTTACGGTATCGATTTTGTTGCCATCCTCGTCTTTCTTGTAGTGGTTCGAAGATCTCGGGTCTCTTTCTCGCTGATAAAGTTAAACAGTTGAAGGTTACGTGGAACATCCTTAAGTTGTCAAAACAATTTGTTGTTCCTCCGTTTTTGGCTTCTTTTTGTATTTAATTTATTTAATTGAAAAGTGAAATCGGAGTTAATTTCAATAATTGTGTATTAAGCTTGGGGTTTAACTAGTTATTTTTAAGTTCTCATCCACAGCTGTTTTCCAAACAACCTACAAACATGGAAGATCCATCTACAACAGAAAGTGTAGAAAACAGCGGGAAAGATGCAGAAAAGGTTGAATTTAAGAAACCAGTTCTTATAGGCCGGATAGGTAAACTTCCGAAGAAAGCAAAAACTGACCAAGAAAAGGCGGCGGAAGAAAAAATCGATGTTACACCGCCGGAACCTACATCAGAATCGAATGCAAAAAGTTCTCTCCCTCCTGCAGTGTTGTTGAAAGAATTATCCACTCCTATACCTTACAAGGAACCTAAATGGTCGGGTCTGTGCCCTGATGGTAAATAACTATTATTCTTTGCTATAAAGTGACCTCCGTGGTCGAGTGTAAGGGTGCTAGTCAAATTACAGGCACATGGGACTTGTCAACATACTTATATCGCAGGGTGCAGTGGCAGTACCCCTCAAACCTTTGCGAACTAAAGCTCTGAATGGCACTGCAACTGCTAATGATTGGTGTGTTGCTAAAGGCCTGGGCTGTAAACTGTATACAATGTAATGTAACTGGTTACAACAGGCGAAAGGTTTCGCGTGGCGGCCGCCCAGTTACCACGCCTTCATGGACATTAATAGCGAATCTGAATTCTATTTACTGGGCAACAACATTTAAATTCCTCTGAATAATACAAACGCACCGTCGCCGCGCGGTCGCAGCATACACCAGATTCAAGCCAGACTCGCCCGCATGCCCGGGACACTCATTTAAGTTAAAACTTAAAAGCTAAATAAATAGAGGGTACTTTGCCATGACAGTTAGAGGCATGTGGTCGCTGGCTAAAGCTAGAAGATAATACCTCACTCTGAAATGTGATACCAGAATTTTATATAGAATTTATTATACACTCTAGTGTATTATTTGATGGTTATATAAATATACTATTGCCTATTCCTGGTGTCTAGGGCTAGATTAAAGCCTATTTCTGCTACAGATCTGATTAATTTTTTGCCCCATACTTGAACAGACCCAACGCACCTGTCTTCTACTGGAATAGGCTTGGACTAAAGTACCTCAGTAGCTCTTCAATTGTTTTCATATGTCAAATACCTGTACTAATAAAGCCATCAGAAGATATAAGTATTGTAAATGATAAATATCTGCAAATGATAATTTACAACGAATGGAGACTGCCTTGTCATGGCAAAATATGCTCTATTTACTTAGCTTTTATGTTTTAACTCTAATGAACGTCCTGAACACAAACAGCATGCGGGCGAGGCTAGTTTGAATTTGGTCTACATGGCAGCCAGATGGTAGTATTATTCGAAGGAATTTAAATGTTGTCGCCTAGTAAATACAATTCAGATTCGACTTTCATGTATATGGAGGCGTGGTAACCGTGGAAACCAAAGTGTTTCAGGCCTCAGTAAAAAGTAGAAAAAAAAACTAATTATAATATGTGATTTCAGGTACAAACTATGCACTAGAAGTCTTGAAGTCTGGCATGATAATGGAAACAATAGAGTTGACTAAAAAAGCGTACTACGTGTTTGGGAGACTGGCTAATTGTGATGTTGTTATGGCACATCCCACTATTTCCAGGTAATATTTATCAATAAATCCTCTTTAGTAGTAGATAGTTCTTAGTCTGAAGTTGTGTAGTGGCAATCACATTAATGCAAATGTGGTGTAGGATGGTCTGCGGCAAGATAAATTAACGACCTGACCAGAGTTATCACTTGTCCTTTTTTTGAAGTCGGTTAAAAATTGAACACCATCTATAGCAGAAGCATTTATCGACTGCAATAATGCACGGCCCTTAAACAAAAGGCCAGTACCTGCTTATGAGTGGGAAAGGCGAGCGCAATATCGCTGTCCCACTTCGATAATTTATGGCCATGTCTCCAGCGCGAGTGAGTAAATAATCTTACAGTATGAATCCAAGAGACTGAAGTCATTTATTATTATTAATGTAGTCTATAGGTCACAATCATTTTCTTTGTCTAGACATCACGCAGTCCTCCAATACAAAGCATTTGCTGAAGAAAACGAACGCCCAAGCGGGTGGTACCTTTACGACCTGGGCAGTACGCATGGCACGTTTCTGAACAAGGAGCAGTTGAAGTCTAGTCATTACGTAAGGGTCAGAGTTGGACATCAGATCAAGTTTGGTACCAGTACAAGGACTTTTATTGTATTGGTGAGATTTTTATAATGTTTATTATTTTTTGACCTGATATATCAGTGAGCATATTACAAGTATAATATTGTGATATATCCTCGGGGATGAAAGGCGCGTATCTACACGAAACCAAATATTATTATTATTTGCTCTTCGAGCTGATGTGTGTATATCACTGCACTTGTATATTGTTTTCAAAATATTTATCAAGTCTAGCTTTGAATCTGTCAGAGCACGGATTATTGTTTCTGGGAGCGAATTCCACAAGTTCATAACGCGAAGTGGCAAGAAGTATTTTCTGTAGTTGCTAGCACATGCAGGCTTGGTTAGCTTCAGAGAAAGACCTCTCAATTAGCAGTTGTGATGAATTAGGTACATATCCTTCATGTTACGCATCTTGTAGTGCCCATTAAGTATTTTGTAAGTCTCTATGAGATCTTGTTTCCTTTGTTGTTCCAAAATACTCAATTTTAGTAATTTGTTTTTAAGGACTCAATTCATTGCTCTCTCCTGAACCTTCTCCAACTTAAAAATGTCTTTTTTTAAATAAGGACACCAAATTTGAAAAGCATATTCCAGGAATGGACGTATGTAGGTTTTGTATATTTGGATAAGTAACTCCTTGGTAAATATTACAGGAGAAGGTGTTGACGTTATTACGTTTTCAGGAGTTTATTAACTTTCTCATGAATTTATTATCTTATTGCCAAATACAGTTCTAAAAAGTGTCATGTAGT